GCAGGGAATTCCAGATGATGTTAATGGCAGGCAGCAGAATTCCCTGGTACTCCAGCCTGGCTCTGATTACTCAGAATTCCCTGGTATCACAGCCTCTAACCAGCCCTATAACTTTGGGAACATGATTTAATCCACCTGGACATTGACTTTCTTTCTGTAATAAATTAGAGAACTTAAAAGGTATGGCCCCATCCTGAAATTCTTTAAAGCATTTCAGAGAATGCGAGATCAAATATATATCTTTTCTAGAGAAGGCAGCATGGACAGTAATGGACAGAAGACCAAGTTACTCATAACTTCTGGTTAACTGTTCCTTCTTTTGCTTTCTCCACTTTTAAAATTTGACATGTAATTCACATACTATCAAAACGACCCTCTTGAAGTGCAATGGTCTGTACTATATTCACAAGCAGCACCACTGTTGAAATCGAGAACATTTTTAGCACCCTTAACATAAACTCTGTACTCATTAGCAGTCGCTCCCCACTCTACTCCATAAGGTTTTCAATGGTCACTTTTTCAGAGCAGTTCGTCAGGCCTTTCTTCTGAGGCAGCTGTCAGTGGACTTAAATTGTTAATGTTATGTTAGATCTGAGAATAGGAAGTATAAAGGCCTTTCTTTCAAACGAAAAAGATGTTGAAAAACCAAGAAAATATTTTATTATGCAAGTCTGGTGAAGAAAGACGCTCAAGAAGTGAATTCTCTGTAAAGGTTAAAGCCAAAGTCTTTACAACGGCCTCAAAGACTTCATTTTATCGACACCACTCCAATCTCTTTGTAACCTCTTTGACCTCAACTATACACTCTTCCCATAGTTTAATTCATACCAGTAGCAATGACTTTCTTATTTTGGGTCTTTGCCATATTCCTATGCTCCAGTCTTTGTAATACTATACATATTTTTGTCCTTACTCTTTGATCATCACTAATTTGTGTGTGTGTGTGTGTGTGTGTGTGTGTGTGTGTGTGTGTGTGTGTGGTACAAGCATGCTTCATCAATTAATTTGAAGTCACGAATTGTTTTCTAAACATGATTACTAAGTACAAAGTTGAGTTTCAGTCCCTGGGTTCCTCTGATTATTCAGCACCATTTGAGAGGGCTCCAAAAAGTTCATGGAAAAATGTAATGAAAAGATAACGGAATTTTTCCACAAATTTTTTGAAGCCCCTTCGTGTATTTTCAAGGTAGGTATTTACTTATCTCCCAAGCTGCATCTTTAGCCACTTTGTCAGCCTGGATGCCACTTTATCTAGCAGATGTATTTCAGAGGGAAGGAGACTAATTTGACAAAGCTGATTTCATGAAGCAGTTTGTGCTAAGGCTTTTGCAAAACAATGGAGCCAGAATATCAATATAACCGCTTTTGGATACTGATATGTATTTGATGCCTTCCTCCCTTGACCCTCAATTTACCCTGAACTTGCTTTGCAGAGAATAGACCAATTTTTCTCTTAGCGCTTAAATTTTTTTTAAGCAGTGAATGGATCCATGTAGGAAGAACTGGGGCTAATTTTAAAACACACTATCACATTCCCAGTGAAAATTTTTTGCATGTCAACAGCAATCTGGCTTTGCTCCTTTGCTTCTTTTCTTTGAGGTGTAATGGTTCCTATGGCTTACTGTGAATACTCTAAAATTCCTTGTAAATTGTTTATCCTTCTTAGTTGATGCTTTTATCGTTCAGCTCATTTTAGGATTCATTCAAAATCCTCTTAATTAAAAGCTAGAAATAGTTACAAACGGTCTGCTTATATCTGACAGCATCATGCCTTATCTTCTGAATTTAACTCAGAATTATAAATCACAGTTTGTGGAGTTAAGCAAGGTTTGACTTTCACATTCAAGTTTATTGCGGAGAGAAAATACTCAGCGTTATTGCGAGAAGCAATCCTCATGGGCTGTGCATGTTCTTGTTCAGTATGTCAAGAATGCAAGGCCTTGACCTCTCTTTACCTGGGATATTTATGAGAGCTATTTTTGCAACGAGTAACCTTGAGTTTTTCCCTGGACACAGAGCAAGTTTGCTTTTGCTTTATGAGAAAAGCAGTGAACCCCCAAACTCAGCATTTTTCTTCTGTAACACAACCTACTATATGTGCAGGCATCGGTCATATGCCTGTGTTGCCCCATGGGATTTTGGGGTCACGGGAAACCAACATAAATTAACATGAAACTCTTAAACTGCTTTTCCCACAAGTAGTAATGTTCTTTGCCTGATCCAGGAGTCTTCTGTTTTCTGGTCCTATTCATGGAACAGACTAACTTGGTAGCTTGCCAGTAGGGTAAAATCTCAGACTGCATAGTTCACAATCAATGTTTCCACATATTATCTGTAAATCAATCATGATAACACACTTTCCCACAAGAATTATTTTAGTCATATTTGTGTATCACTTAAGCATAGTAGGTTACTCATTGGGCTGCTAACCACAGGGTCAGCAGTTTGAACCCACAAAGGGAGAAGAACGAGACTCTCTACTCTTGTAAAGAGTTCTAGTCCCAGAAACCCACAGAGGGTAAGGGAGGCTACACCAGAAGGACTTAACATAGAGGCCTGGCAGAATGAAGTTACTGCTGTCTCAAAGCTGCCTCAGAGGTGCCTACACCCTTGGACTGAAGACTGGGGTATTCGAATGTGAGAGGAAGCAGAGAGTGGCTGCCCCAGACTTGTGAAAGTGTTGGTCCTTGGACCTTGGAAAGAATCCCGTTTGGTGGGTCCAATGGAAATGGACCCCAAATCACCATATATTTCGTACCTCGATTCCCCCCTCACAGTAACATGACAAGTTTTGATGTGCTGGGTAGGGATTTGAACTTGGAAGAACTGATCCAGAAAGTTTCCCCCTGGCACCAACCTCCATGCTTAAATAGAGCCTCATGGCATGGGAGATCGAACTATGTGGACCAAAAGGTCATAGGTCGTGACTCATGGAGGAATTGTACTTGCATAGACTCTTCACACCTACAGTGTCCAGAGTGATGTTTGACTGGAAAAATTGATGACATTCAAAGTGCAATTGCCTTCTACCCCAGGGGGTGATTGACCATGTTTTACTTTTCTGTCTCTATGGTTTTTGTTTTCCTGCCTTTAGTTTGCTTGTTTTTTTCTGTCGTTTGTGGTTTGCTAGTTGATTTGGTGCTGTTGTTGTAGTAGTTGGTTTTATAGGGTTTTGAATTTGTCATAATGTGACCGCCTAAGTAAACCTGAGTCGTGTATATCCCAGGGACAGACAGATGGATTCTGGGGCCCCAGTGAACTCTAGTCCCAAGTAGTCTCTAGTTAGTTCTGATAACAGGGCCCTGCTCAATACAGACCTTCATGAAATGATCACTGAAGATAAGGGTGCATCAGCAACGTGTGATGAAGAAAGCAGATGGTTCCTGCTATCAATCGGAATAGTGTCTGGGGTCTTAAAGGCTTGTAGTAAAACAAGCAACCATCTAAGTGAAGAGTCAACTAAACCTCCATGGTGAAGCACACCAGCTTGTGTGATCCAAAGATGACATTAACTAAATTCAAGTATGACAAAGGGAAAATTTATGAGAGCCTAAATTGTTAACACCCAATTTGTAGAAGGCTATGGAGGACAGTGGGGCCTCAAAAACCATCAGCAGAGTATCTAGTCAGATTAAGCTGCTGGCAGATCCCCACTAGCCTTAGGCAAGGGTCTCTTACAGCTTTACTATCAGATAGGGATCATTATAATAGTGGTTATACTGGATGAAATTTAATACTTGGTCAGTTGACCTACCTCATGACCTAACCTGAAATTCTTCTAGGTGCAAGTATTTCTTGTTAATTCCATGACAAAAATTTCTTCCCTGGGTTTCTAAATCTTCACTGGGGCCTTTTCATTTTTCCTCATGATTTGTATTTTTATCTTGATATTATTATTATTTTATCCTTATCATTGTATTTTGTTTCTGTTTTTTTTTTCCAGTTCGTGAAGCAAAGAAGGAGCAGATGCAGAGAGATGGGAACTAAAGCAGGGTTTTTAGGGGAGGTAGGTGAGGGTGGGGATGGGAGATAGGGAGGGTGAGGGGTGCTGGTGCTGGAGCAAACAGTGTATGTGAGAGACACTGTATGTGAGAGAGTGTTTGTGAGAGGGGAGGGAGCACTAGAACTGATGGTGATTGCATAACTCATTTTAAAAGTGATTTAACCATAGCGGGGAGGAAGTGTTCTATAATTGATGGTGGTAGTGATTGTACAACTCTTCTTGATATGATTTAACTACTGAATTGTGATATGTGGATTAAATGCCGATAAAACTGTTTTTAAAAACCCTCACTGTCATTGAGTCAATTCTGATTCATAGTGACCCAATAGGACAGGGTAGAATTGCCCCTGTGAGTTACAGAACACTTTAGCTCTTTATGGGAGTAGAAAGAAAAGAAAAGAAACCCACAGGGTAGTTCTACCCTGTTATCTTGGGTATTGTCCTATATCGGAATTGACTCAATGGCAGTGAGTTTTGAGTTCTGCTATTGTGTCCTACTTATTGCTCTTCTTCAATGGACTTATTTAAAAGGGGCTTTATAACACCACCCTAAGCTACCTTCACATTGCACTCAGTATTCATGAAAACATATTCAAATAAATAGGTGCCAATTACAACTTAAATATGTGTGTGCTATCTAAAAATCATCCCCACCTACCACCAGGTCGGTTTACTTTAATCCCAAATGACCTAATTATGTAGAATATGGTCAGAGCTGGGACAAAGACTATCACAACTAATGTTTCTTGTGAGTGCACTTGGAGGCCATATCTTTGCCCTCATAAAAAGTTTCCTTCAATCCCCCTTGGGGAGGAAAATCAGGTAAAGGATCTCACTCTCTGACCTGTAGTGGGATGGTCAGTCTCTAGAGGTCTGGGTATTCAGCCCAATGGAGATTCAAAAGGAATGTGTTGGGCTTTACTACTTGATGGCAGTTGTTGTTTTTTTTTCATTTCTTTTTTTAAGTGTCTTTAGAAATAAATGTAAGTGCTGCTAGTTTGTTTTTTGTTGTTGTTAAAAACTTTTATTATTTTTTTTAACACAACAATAATGTTGCTGTAGGAATAAGGAAAAATACACATAAGCAAAAATGAAAGAAAAATACCCATTATCCCACCACCAAGAGGCTACTTTGTTGTATTCATCCTTCAGATGTTTTCTATAGGCATATATGATATACAAATTCACTCTTCACCTTCAAAAATATGATATTCACATATTACATAGTGACTTTCCCCTCCATTTTATATCCTATCAGGGCCCTCTCTTTGCACAAATGAGTGAAGCTTCCCTATTAAACAACAGAGACTTGTAGATTGGGTCAAAATACAATGAACAATAAGATGCAGATAATAAAATGCTTTTTAAAACCAATAACTCCAGCAAGTTAAAAGGAGGATGGGGAAAGGTGTATCAGGAAAATGTAAATCAAAAAGCTATATGCAAATGCTAATATTCATAAAGATCACAGCAAACTACATTAAATAGGGGTAAGGATGGTTCCGATTAACCTTCCAACGCATCACTATAAGTTTATTTCTCACTCTTCGTATCTCGTCCATTTCATCCACATCTCTAAACATATCTTCTTTGCTTAAATGCCTGTTGTGTATATCTTCTTTAAATTCCTGGAGAGACTGAATCAGCCTTTCTCTGAAAGTTTCTTCTGTGTTTTCCTCCCCCTCTGGCCCTTCCTTCTCCTCTGGCTTTTCCTCAGGCTGCGGGTCTTCCTGAGGCTTTAATTCACTCTCATTCTCTGACTGTCCTTCCATTTTTTGACAGGGTTTCATCTTTTGTCTGTCTGCCTCCCTTTCTTGCTTTCTTTTTCTTGTCTTCTTCCCCCCTGCTGATTCCTCTTGGAATACAAGTATCCCTAGGTGGCCAAAGAGAAATAGTAAGTCAAAATTTTGGTGAATGGATCAGTGTTCTTGGTGTCTAGAGGTGTCTGGCATTTTGGATTCAGAGCTCTTATCAAATACCTTTCACCTGAGGCCCAGTCAGCAATCCGCGGCTTCCCTAACCCCGCCCTTTCCTACCTCCCCTCCCCACTCTTCCATCCCCCGCCTTTCAGGGCCCAGAACATAGCTGCCTGAGGGGGATGGGCAGCGGGGTTTGTAACTTCTGTCCCTTCCCCCCGCTTCCACGCCAGAAGTCTTTATGATGCTCTCCTCACCTACCAGTACTGATCCAGTTAGTTTCTTCTTCCTTTTCTAGCCGTGTGCCTTGCTGAGCAGCAACCAACCTGCAGACAGACTATAAAAGGGCGGGGAGAGGAGGGAGCGGGCGGCGAGCGCTCAGTGGGTCCGTGAGCGCTGGGCCGAACCCACGTACCTCCCCTCATTTTGGCTTTCGGTTATGAAGTTTCCTACCTTGGTTCCCCTCAGTCCCCTCTCTTTCCCCAGTGTGAGTTCACTCTCATTTGTCATCAGAGTGTGGGAAAGGGGGATTGCTTCCAAACTCTCTGAGGCGGGGCTGGGAATGGGGGGGAGAGTGGGTGTTGGGAAAGCCGTCCGAGGTGGCACAGAGTAAATATTTTTAAGCCAGCTTCGGTTTCCTGGTCCTTCTCCCGGGGTCCTACTCCCTTTCCCACGGGTCATCATTTTCTGCAAACCTCGGTAGTGGAAAGACACACTTGCCCTGGCCCCTTCAAGTCTGTGCCCTAGGCCACCCCCACCCTAGGACTCCCCCGGCAGCACCCATCTTGATACTAACCTGCACAATTCCAGCAAGTTGACTCCTTTCCTTGGCCTCCGGCCTTGCTGCCTGCACAGCAAAAGGGAGCTGGTACCCTGATGGGAACAAGGGCCAGATTAGCAGGACTTCTGCACACGTCGACTCCGGGTCACGTGAGAGCTACGTCAGCTATGAGCTCGGGTCTCCAATTTCCACTCCCACCAAAAACGCGGCAGAAGTCGGCCCGCCCTCTGCTCCCTCTTCCCCTTCCCCTCTTAGACACTTGGCTTTGTCAATCTTTTCTGTTGCTTCCGTCTTCCTCGAGGAAAAATGGTATTTGCTTTCCTTGATTTCTAGGGAGGGGCCGCTTGTTATCTGGAGCTACTGAACTTTTCTACTTCATCTTTAAAGCATTGTCTCTTCCTGTCTTATACTCCCAGGTTAACCCACCTCTCAGCCTCCATTTCATCACCACTCTGGTCCCCAGGGTATTTTGGGACCAGGTCGGTCTGAATGTAAAAAAAAAAAAAAAAAAAAAAGCCTGAAACATGAATAGGATTTCTGAATACCAGTTTTGTTTTATTGACAATATATTTCTATGCTTTTAAAAAGCAGCATCTTATACTCATCAGAAAGATGCAGTCACTTTAAAATAAGTTCATCCATGTACAGTCTCAGAGAAGTGCCTGACATAGCCAAAAAACTCACTGCCATCGAGTTCCTGGTGACTCAACGCGACCCTCTAAAACAGGGTTGAACTGTTGCTGTGGGTTTCTGAGACTGCAGCTTTGTATGGAAGTAGAAAGTCTGTTTTTCCCCCCACGGAGAGGCAGATAGTTTCCAACTACTGACCTTATGATTAGCAACCCCACACGTAACCACTAGGTAACGTGCTTTAAAAGCTTGACTTATTATCATAAGTATTTCACTGGAAGAAAAGAGATTCAAAATGTAAAAAGTCGTCATGTTTGAGTCCAGAGCCCTAGCAGTGGCGTCTTCCAGGAGGCGGTTCCACCTGAAGAATGTTCAGCTGCCACTCTCCCTGCACCGGCCTTGCCTTGAAGGAGGGGAGAACAAGGGCTTCTCATAAAGTTAGAAAAAAGTATGTGATTTGTAAAACATTTTAATACATTGTTCCCAGGAAGATTGAGACATCCCGAAGGTCAGCTACCTTCTTCCAGCTTGATGGAAATGGTCCCAAATATGCTTAGTGTCCTGAAGAGAGACATTATCTTATTTTAGGCTCATAGAAACCCTGCAAAGGAGATGTGTTTATTTCCATGTTACATCTTAATAAACTGAGATGCCTCTACTGCCACTGTATCCACAAGACTTTTCACTCGCTGGCCTGTGATCATCTTGCATTTGGCATCATTGCATGTGTTTCATGAATTTGAAGAGGAATTTATAGCTTGGTATTGGATATAATGGGCTAATATCGGACTTATGGACTTGATCTGGACTAGGCTGGGATGTTTTCTCAATATTCTCAATAAAGCTCTTTCTTATACCAAAAAAAAAAGAAAGAAACTATATAAAGATTAAGCAACGTATCTAAAGGATTTACCTCCTTCTCCCTGAGCCAAAAAAGCCTCTTCCTGAGGTTCTCATTCATTTATTTTTAACTTTGTATTGTGAATTAGGTAAAGGTTTACAGAGCAGATAATCAATTGTACATTAAATAATTCATACACATTTGTTTCAAAGAATCCATTGCCTCAATGAACCTTCCACTTATCTCTGTCTGATCAGTGAGCCTGATAGCGTGCATGATTTTGAATCCAGTTCCACATTGGTCTCACACTCTATCCAGGACCTCCTAATGTGATCCCTTTCAGAGCACTTGGCAGTGACAGCTGGGCACCATGTAGTTGTGGATGGTTTCCAGAGTGTGGCGCTTAGTGTTTGTCTGGCCCATTAGTTCTTTGGGATGATTTTTTTCAGTCTGTCTCGATTTTAGTCCCTCAATGGTTGTGCTATAGATTGCTCATGCCCGTACTCATGAGCTCTTAAGATCCTAGGCACTACTTACCCAAGTAGGATGCAGAAAATTGTTTTGGTGAACTATGTTGATACACCAAGACTATTATTCTGATCCCCCAGGCCCAGCAACTCATTCCCTCAAGGAGTTTTGTTGTGGCAAAGAAATAACCATACCTTTGCCTCCTATATGCTCTACCACATTCATGGATATATTGCAACAGAGGTAAATATGCGTATTCTCTGATACACACACACACACCCACTTTCCCTCCCACACTTGTTCAGCCTGTATGTCGATCTAAGCATATTCTCATAAATCACTATTATTTCAGGATTATGTGAGTATAAAACAGTACTTCACCCTGAAGATATATCTCCTTTAGATCTATCTGCCTCTGGCCCTCTGGATGCTTCCCCCATATGTGGTCATGAGTCCATGGTACAAGAAGATATGCCTTCACTTGTCTCTTTTGAGACCACACACCTGGAGCTTTACAATACCCAGAGCCCAAATCCAATGTCTGTAAGAGCCTTTTCCCCTGATCTGTCTTCCTGGGAATGGGCCATACTCCTTGTGGGTAGACCTTTAAGCCAGGATAGGGGTGGGATAGATTATATAGCTAAGGAATTAGAACCCTTCTCATATGAAGCCATTCAGAGAAAAGTTTAAAGGGGGAAGTGCACTGTTGAGCCAATAGGAACTTGGGTTGGATCTCCCCAAAAGGAAGCAAAGGGCCTTGACATGGACCTAGATTACGGAGGAAAGAAAGGGGGTAAGTAATATGAGACCTCATGCTTTCCATTAAATACCTGGCCTTCATGCTGTTTGGCTGAGTAGAAGTCCATTTACTCCTCCTTAGAGGTGCCTGTTTCTGATGTTACAGATTCAGTGCTTTATGACATGAAGTCAGAAAATCTGTGCTCTGCACTCCCCCTAGTAAGTTTGCACTTCTTTTCATGTTATGAAATCTGAATTGGTCTACCAAATACAGAATATAGGCAATTTGTGTATTTAAATCACGTGTTAGCCCATAAATCCATTCCTGAATGCTTATCCTAGAAAATAATTAATGATTTAGTGTGACAGAATTCATAGTCATAAACATATACAAAAAAAATTCATAGACCTGAATTTTTATCATCAATCTATTGGCTTACAACAGACTATGGATAGATGATAGATAGATAGATAGATGATAGATAGATAGATAGATAGATAGATAGATAGATAGATAGATAGATAGATAGCTCATGAGTGAAAAGCAGCAATGGTATGAGAGAAGGAGGGAAAACTGTTCTAGAAAACAGTAGATATACCACCAAGCCTGTGCACTGTATATGCATATTCTCACAATCCTAGGGTTCTACTGGATGGATTTGCCAGAGAAGAAAGAAGGCAAGCATTAGAATTTTGTTAAAACAATTCAAACTGTATGCATGGCATATTCCCACATTGTAGAAATAGAAAACTACTATTAAGATATTCAACATACTGTTAGCATGGAACAGCAAAGAATAAAGAGAGTCAGGAATAGGAGGAGTGTAGTATTAAATTAAATGTAGGTAGGGAGGTGGGGTAAGGGGCCAGCCCCCACCTGCTGCTACTACCTACGAGTTCAGTAAGCACAACTGTACAGTTGAGATATACAAGTATTGTATTAAAGTCATCGAGAGCATTAGAGATATTACAACAATACAGTCAGACACATTACATGGTAGCATTGCACACCTCCGCCCCACTTAGTGGTCCTCGTAGGGGGAACCCGGCTACGAGAGCAGGAGCAGCCTTGGGGACCGAGAACCGGGGAGCCTCTCCTGGCCCAAGAGCCAGAGAGGGCCCCTGGAATCAGGGAGAGTCTTCAGCCCCAGAGCTGGGGAGAGTCTCTTGGGCTCCGGAGCTCGCTCCCTTCTTTATTGCTAACCACGCATTCTATCACTTTAGGGGGACATCATTATAGAATCACACGTCACAGAAAGGGGCAGTACAATTCATAACAACCTACATCATAGGGAGGGGTTGCAACATAGGCAATACAAGCACTAGGAGGGGGATGACCTAGGGGTGAGCATGCAATAGTAAAGGGAGGGAATAGGGGAGCATGTGTGGCAAGATGGGTGGACCCTGGACTCTATATGGTAGCCTAAGCTTAGTCATCCTACAGTGGTCTCTGGCTTGCCTTCAGGCACTCCTTTAAGGGAACAATGTCAGAAGGGAATGGGCCCTATTTGTTGTGGGATAAACAGTGGTGTCTGCTTGATGTAGACAGCTGATAACTCTCAGGGAGAATGGCTCCCAATCCACTCCTGATGACTTCAAAGTGTACAGTCATTCTCAAGCAGCTAAGTCTGGCATATACTTGTGGGAGACAGCTTGAGAGAAATCTGTTGTTCCCCACAGAGGAGGATATAGAACGTGTGACTAATTGCCTACATGAACAATTGCTGCTTTCCCACGAGACTCAAACTGGATGGTGCCCAGCTACCCTTACTGAACATGTTCATCAAAGATTCCATAGGATTCTGATACATGAAGCTTCCATGAACCCCTGAAGCTATTGCTCTGAGCTAACTTTTAAACCTTGGACGAAAAATGCCCCTGAAGTCTTAAAACCAAGCAGTAGTTTCACTTAACTAGTAAAAAAGTCTGCCTTAAGCAATATGCTTTTTAAAGAATTATCTATATGGAATCAAACTGACAACAGCAACTCAAAAATTGAGATTGGAACCTCAGGGGGCAGTGCATTTAAATTAATGGGGAAGAGCAACTCAGAAAAGGATAATGAGATGGTTATACAACTTAGGGTGTAATCAATGTCACTGACTTGTACTTGTAATAACTTTGGAATTGGTGTATGTTTTGCTGTATAGGTTCTCATTAACAGCAATAAATTTACATAGGAAAATCAATTTAAAATGAAGACCAGAAAAAGGATACATAAGTTTTAATGGGAATAATTAGAGAAAATTAAGTGGTTTACAAGAGGAAACAGGTTAGATTAAGTATGTAATAATCATATACTAAAATCTAAACAAACACTTAGATAAGATTTATTGAGAACAGTAGTAAGAGTTAACGTTTAGTCCATGCAATGAGGAAAACATTTTTAAATGTAAATTATATACCATTGGTCAGGCTATGAGAAAACAGGCATTTGTTTTAATGCA